CAGACAAGGTTCTCTGGGTAAATGTGATATTATCTTTTATCAGACCAACTAAATCCGTAGTTGGAAAAACGGTTAGGTGTGGTGTAAGTGTTTGTGCACTAAAGGGATCTCACAACACCTTAGTTAAGAATCACTAGTCTGCAAAGTAACTACAACTTCTTTGCTTGTTACTCCAGTTCCGGGGAGGAAGTTGAGGTAGTTTTACCTTCAACTAAAGCAGATAGAGAAACTACAGAAGAGGCTAAGGTACCAATGTGTCCTCCATAAGGCACACAGAAACATTACCAAAGAGCTTCCATTGATTTGCCAATAGAGAACACATTGTGCTTGAGAAACAAGTTTTCCATTACCCATTTCCAGAAAAACTTCCTGCATACCTTTATCAATCTGTAAATTCTTCTGAAATCACACTTTTGATTGCTGGCGATTTCTAAAGGCCTTTAGCATTGGGGGGAGGCTACTTTATAAAAGAGGAGATGGTAATTACAACAGGATTAGCTCCTTTTTCTAAAGTGAAATGACATTTACAGAATAATTAGCATATCCTACTTATGCTACATTCTTATTAACACAGGCAGGTAAGGGGCAGCACAATTTGCTGCAGTAAAATGAAACTATTCTAAATTACTATAATTGCACATGACCAAATATCCCTCAGTCTAGTTTGCTTTGCAAAATTAGAGTTGATAAATCATTTTAATCCACCCCTGCCCCCAGGATGATGTCATTTAAAAGAAACATCTTATTTCAAAGTGGAAGAAATTATAAGGAAGGGTTGCAGGGCTGGTCCCGTGGGCTAGATTGGGCCTATGCCTCTCTTCTTTCCCCTCTTCCCCCAGCCCAGTAGCCCAGGACCTGGCAGAAAGAGTCCTGGTATCCCTAGTGCTTGGCTGTCACTGCGAGAACAAACCATGTCATTGGGCTTCTTCCCTTAGCGCTGCTGGGGTACCAGCACCCCAGCACTCCCCCAGGCACTTGGCTACAGCTGCAGGAAGTTTCCTCCCCAATCAAGGCTATGAGCTACTGCCTGCATCCTCCGCTCTGTCCCCCTCCCCTGGTGCTCCAAGACTGCAGGGCATCCTACCCTTTTCTCTGCTTGCTGGGAACGATTTTGGGGGGGGGTTGGAGTGAACCCACCAAAATCACTGAGCCCGCCATTTTTCACAGATCCCACCTAAATTCACAGTTTCCGTGAAAATCACACAATCGCGAATTCAGTAGTTTCCTCACTATATGTCAGCAGGAGGTCTGCTGCAAATGTGTAAAGAGATGTAAAATAACAAATGCTCTGAAAAAAAACTGACAATGGATACTTTTGACAATCATGGCTTTTCATCTGTCGTCCTCAGTCCACCATGTGTAAAAGAGGTTTTGCAAAGACAAAGTCATTAATGCTCATAAACCCGCCTTAAATCCAGATACTCAAAAGTTCCTAGGCACCTATTCCTATTGTAGATGTTTAGGCAGTGTGTTCTCTGTGCGTTTCCTGAGAGATGGAGCAAAAAAATGCTGGCCAGAGCAAAGTACAATGGGCCACCACCTATGGTGAGGATGATGCAGAGGCAAAGGGCAGGATAGAAAGCAATGGCTTTAAATTGCAGCAAAATAGATTAAAGTTACATTTCAGGAAAAAATGTCCTTACTGTTAGAACTGTGAGGCAGTGGAATAGACTGCTCAAGGGAAATGTAGACTTAAAAGGATTGGGGTAAAAGTAATCTTGAGCAATACTTATGCCACCAAGATTCCTGTCAGACCAATGGCCACTGCAGCCCCAGCATAAGTTAATACAGTCCTGGAGCCACTTACATTGGTTATGTGCAACATAATTTGGCAATTCATTATGATTCCTTTGTGCCACCAGAGCAGTGACCAGAATGCAACCCAATACATTTATTCATTCTCACTTAAGCCTGGACCTATTCTTCACAGTCTGCCTCCCTCTGTCTTTTGTTTTGGGTTTGGTTTTTTTGGTCTGTCTGTGCCACCTCTATTTTCCAGTCTGTTTTTCATTGCCTAGCTTTCTTTTGCCTTCTCATTGTTCCTTATCTCAAGCGTTTCCTAAGTGTAAGTGCAAACTCCTTAGCATTCCAAGTAAACTTCAAAGCCAAGTTCAAGTTGGTTTGAACCAGAGCAAATTAATTTGCATATTCCTATCTGTAAATCCTGGTTTTTTAGTGAGCGTTTTATTACACAATATTACAATAGCCTATTAGCATGAATCCAGATCCCACAATAGCCCAGAGGCAGCGTTGTGACTGGATGCATTTGGGAATCAAATTCAAACCACGCATTATTTTACTCTGGTTACAAGTCTTCCTTTTTGTTCTCTGTAACAGTTGGGGGGGGAGGGGGGGAATCAATTAAAACAGCCATAGATCAACAAAACAATTTAAGACACAATTCTGTATTAACCTCATTGCCGTTAAACCACTGAGCAACCATTTTAGCAACTGCACCAATGACTGTTGCCTCAAAATACTATATGAAATATGACTTGTTCAAACTTGCGTGTTTTCCTATTGCAGATGAGAATGTTACAAACCAGATGGTAGTACTACTTTCTATATTTCAGAAAGCTGTTAACATGCTTTCCTGTGATCTAGCTCCCTTCACAGACTGAAGCCTACTGATTAAGGATAAGATTGACTGCAGAAAGCAGTCGATAGTATTAGTTGTAAGAATTCCCAAAGGTAGACTTGATCTGTACAGTTATCGCTGTCTCCAAATTCCTACTGTCCATTGTTAGGAACAGTTTATCAATAGAGTCTCTTCTATTCCAGTTTCTGTAAAGAAGTAAATCCACTGAGTTTACTTGTACAAATATTGTCACCCCATTTTATTTTTTAAATTTGATGTTAAGGTGCTGAAGTTACTGGAATCTACTACATTTTTTCACTGTGTGTATTCACATGTCCGGGGTTGAGAAAAAGCAGCAACAGGCCTTTCCCCAGGACAGAGCATCACATCTATGCAGTGATCACTTACCCAGCCTAAATGAGTTCTTTTTAGGCTCTCCCAAGTCTCAACTTCAGATTTGCAGGACAAACCCATGGGCACCTATACACATGCAGAGAGGCTGCTCCTACACACTGTAATTAATCGAGTCTGCTGGCACATAGCAATTGCCACACTCCAGCAGGTTCCAGCATCACATGGATCAGTGTCCCCGTGCTGAAAAATGGCAGCACATGTTTAAACACCCCACATTTCCAAATTCTCCTCATAGGCTGGATCCTGCAAAGTGTTCCAAGCCCTGAATTCTCATGGTAGCCAGCAAGGCTTTTCTCAGGGACTGGCTTTGGGTTATCATCTTTCCACTTTGATCCTACAAAATGCTCCATGTAACTATGTTCCCATGCAATATGAAGTCCCAATAACTTCAGTAGGACTCTGCATAGACACAGCGGCCTTTTGTGCTGGGTAGAGAAGGTTCTTTGGGTAAATCTGATATTTTTTATTAGACCAAATCAAATGGTTGGGAAAATTCTTCTTTGCAAGCTTTCAGGTATAAATACCCTTCATCAGGCTTCGTCCTGCTGGGCAGCTTGCAGAATCAGTCGTGGAAGAAAAAAACCAAGAAATGTGGCAACTAATTGGAAGCCTATGTCATATGAGTGGGTCTACATGCAGGCAGGAATAAACGCACACGTGTTTGAGAGAAGCATGCTGTAATAATTCTAAGATGGGACTTGAAATTCAGACCTCCAAGGGTGCATCCAGACAAGCCCATACGTGCCTCTTGCTGCATCTCAAACTGCTTTGAGGTGCGGCAAAAGGCACGCTGGGAACAAAAAAAATGTTCCCCCATGCTGCATATTTGCAGGGGTTCAAAATTTGATACCTGGATATCCAGGTAGCAAAAAAAAACCCACAGAAAAAAAGTGGGACAGGCAACCAGAGGCACAGGTGCTGGCCCCAGGCTCTAGCTGGGAGGAGGTGGGCAGGGTTATTTTGCCCCACACCAAAGTGCAAGTCCGGCACATGCGCCGAGGCAAAAATCCCCAGCTCAAATTTGTGCCGCGCCTATTTGAGCAGCTGCAAGCACGCGTGTCTGCATGTGTGGATGCACCCCAATTTGTAATCCTGCCTATGACATCCTTTGGGTTGGGGTTTGTCTTGCAGTGCAGTGATCCTCAACCCTTTTTTAGATTCGAGACACCACTCAGAAAATGCCAGCACTTAGCTTTCATTTGGTTTTTTGACTATGGAAAAATACTAGAGGAATTCTTTTGCAAAGAACTCAGAAAGACCACAACAGGTCAGAATGGTTTTGACACTATGGATTCCTACTTGAAATCTCTAGGTTTTTCTTGTGAATCATAAGTAGGTGCTTGACCACCTAATCGTACTAATATTGTGTGGCACCCCATGGCACACCTTAAAAGATCTCATAGCACCTCAGAGTGCCATGGCACCATGAGAATTGCTACTCTAGAGACTCATCTTAACTTTTCTACATAAGCTTCCTCATCTATAAAATAGAGGTTATATTATCCATCTGATAGTGATGTGAAAAGGGCACACTGCTGGCTCAAAATCATTAGTGATGGCAAAGCACTTTTTAAAACATTGGATTTCACATGAGTTCCAGTCTCTCTCCTTCCAAAAGTGCTCTGGTTATGAAATCCTCCAAATGCAAATTAAATCCAGTTATACTGAGAACCTGTTTCGCAACTGAAAGGGGTTTGGGTTTAGCTTTTCTACACTAATTTAATTTAGTACCAACCTGAGGGGAAAGGACAATGCAGTTTAGCCTACTAATTTCACATAATTAGTAGTAGTCCTTTTTCCAAAACATTAATTATTGTGATACTTTAAATATTCTAAAGATGAATTAAATACTATTCACTGTCTGCAATAAATTAGTCTTTATCACAATTTCAATCCTTTTCTGCTTTGAGTGCAAGTATTAAGGAATGAGGTTTATATCATTAACAGCACTCTCTAAAACTCAAGTTAATTTCATTTGATTGCTAACGATTCACTTTGAGAACTTCTCCTTCCAGGTGGCTGCCAATTAGGACTCATCAGTGATGGGTTTAGGAAGACAGAGAAAGGGATAAGTGTGGGTGGAGATACTTTCTGGGGTCTTGGGAGAGGTTGTTTTTTTTTAATTTTATACAAGCTGACTGGAAATTTTCCACAGGGAAGTTGTCCAGCATCTACACAGAGAGGTAATAATGATGGGTTTTGTGTTTAAAAACCTGTTTGAGGTTTCTTTTAATAAGCCTCATAAAATTAATATTTGTAAGATGCATTGACTGTTCAAACCTCTACACAGTAATTAATATGGGGCAATATGTATGGAGTTTCTTAACAGCTCTGTTAAGAAATTAAGCAAAATAGGATCTTGTAGAACTTGTTTTCATGAAGCCAGCTAACTTGAAATTCTGCTTTGGTAATTGTCTGCTAACATAACCTTATGTAACTTTCCCTGAAGCAAAAGAAGTTCTGTGGGAAGTTCCATTCCACATGCCACATCTAAAGCTGCTCCCTGGGACCCAGTTAAGATCTGTTGGTGGTTTTAATTTCCGTCTCCTGTTTATAAGAAGGCTATAGAGCTATTGGGTGAAACTGCTTTCCAGGCGCAAAGGATTTTGCCTTAAATTGGTTTTCAAATTGTTTGAAAATTAAAAGTTGGTGTGGGGTGGGAATCTCAAAATCTACCAAACTTTTTTCCAAGTCTAAAAAGAAATCATCCATTAAAAACATACTTGGCTGGGATGGTTTAGCCAGAAATGATCCTACCTTGAGCAGTGGGCTGGACTAGATGACCTTGTGAGGTCCCTTTCAGGCCTGCTTTGCTAGGATCCTGTGAACAAAGTTTCCACTCTGCTGAAACCAAAACTGTGATCTTTTTTAGCTCTAAGAATGGCTGCGCCTAAGGCAGAAGTAAAGCATAGTTAGTTGTAAACGATCTGTTTCCTTGCATAGTCTACAAATTCAAACCCACCAAATTAAAGCTTCTTGTGTAAGAAGCTGCAAATATTTGAATTCTTGGTGTGAACACATAGGGCCTGGTACTGCAAGTTGCTGCATGCGAACAAATAGATTCTTACTGGCATCAGCAGAGCTCTGTGTTAAAAGAGATCCATCTACCAGCATAGACTAGTTTACAGGACTAGGGCCTTGATCATCTGCCCTCCTTCCCAAGAATATTGATGGTATACAGGTCTTTCTTAAAGCAGAGAAACACCCATGCAATGAGAGAACATGTTTTATATTTTATTTTGAAATGTACTTTTAATCTTAAAATGCAGATAGTAGGATAGATTCTCTCATAACTGCCTGAGAGAGTTTTCTTGAGGGGTACTCACTTCACATGCTTCTTCTCTCACCAGAGACAGATTAGCTTTAAATTGCTTATTTGTTTGGGGGTTTTAATATGGTATTGATATTTATAATTTATATTTTAAAAAATCATATTCTCATGTGTTTTGATCAAAAACTTTCTACGTGTAAAGCTCTATTAAGATAGACTGATTTCTGGTGAAAATTGGTTTGCATTTGTAGCTCTTGATGAAACTACCAATATAGCAAAGTCTCTAGAAAGAATTAGATAAGAAGCTTGAAATAGGAGAACAGATTTTCCCTTCTCTGTCATCTAACAAGTTCACGACAGCAGTTTTAGTGCCTGATTTTCCTTTGTGACTTAAAATGTTACTAGCATGAATGCATGTCTGTTGCTTAAAAAATAGTTTCTAGTTTGGGGTGCTCTGAAGCATTTTTATATAATCTCTATTTGTCAGGTCTTCAAAAATCCAGTAAATCTCATGCACTGAAACTGCTGTGCTATAACCTCTTCAGATAAGGAATCTTAAGTCTCATGGGGTGAAACATTGAAGAGTTACACTCCTATCTTGCCTTTGCAATTTACAGCACTCCTGAAATAAGCCAATGTTATCTTTGCAGTACAGGTGAGGACAATGCAGCTCAGAGATGTGCCTTTGGTTTTATAACAGGTCTCGGTAATAGCCAAAGCCAGACTTGGTCACTAGATTACAGTTTCCCAATCAGATCACCCTAATCTCTCTGTCTGTTACATGGAACAGTATAGTTTACTGGCTTCCATTTAGTGGCTTAAGGCAGCATATTGTGAAAAGCAGTTCACCACATAGCCAACAATTGACATTACATATGGTCTAGATCCAATAAAAGATTTGGATAACTTTGAGTTAGGTGCTGCCAGACATTTAAAGTGCCAGCTCCCCCCATCCTCCTGGAGTCAGACTCCCTGTACAATGTGTGAGGAGAAATGGGTGTTTTGGAGCAAAATCCAATGTTGACAGCATGCTGACTAGGGAGCTGCTTAGAAGTATCCAATAGCGTTGAGGGCAGAAGGGTGCATCGGAAGTCCCAGTCCTTTTTCTAACTGTTGGGCTTTACAAAGTGGCTGAATCAGGGATTTAAGCAATTGCTGCTGCTGTCTACTTGGAATGTAGAGCCCAGAATCTGCTTTTGAGGTTAGTTTTGGGTTTTTTTCTTCAATTAAAGAACTGAGCAGGATTTGTTGATGTGGGGGTAATGGCAACAGCAAGAGCAGTGTCCGCATCTGAGAGTCTAGCAAGTTCTGTTCCCTCCTCAGCTGAAAATGTTCAAATCTATCCCTTGCAGGGAACGGCCAGCTCGGCAAAAGTGAAGCTCTTCCATTGTTCACGTATTCCAAGATTCACATGGTCAGAGGCAGATGGCTCTATAAGTTAATGGTTGGAGCACTCACCTGGGAGAGGAGACCTGGCTCTTGGTCCCAGGATTTTTCTATATTTTTATCCAGGGACTGTTTAATGTAAAATGCATAGGCAGTCCTAGGAGCAGGGAGAGGAACCCCGGACTTCCCCAGCCCAGCTAAATACCCTTACTAGGGTCAGGCTTCAACAAGTGCTCTCTTTGGCCTCAGTAATCTTCCACCCCTTTCTAAAATGAGGCCAGCTTCAGTGGGAAGGCAGAGGGTCTCCCCTGCCTTACCCCCAGATGAGCTTGGTGTGACAGAGCATAGCCTTCCACAGGGGAAAATATCCATCTCATTAGCTTGGCTACAATGCCTTTCAGCAAGTGTATAGAATAGAGAGGTCAAAAGGATATTACTGTGGTAACTAATAGGAAGCACTGTGTTTGGCAAAAGTGTTTATATTAAAAAGGAGAGCCAGCCAACAACTCTGCATTAAAAAGGAGAATCTGAGTATCAAAAATGATGTGAGGCAACGATTTTTGTGGGTGATACCTTTTATTTGGACCAGCTGCGGGTTGGGATAGACTTGAACAAATTTCAGATTAAGTGCATTCTTCTTCAGGTCTCATGTATTGCATGTGAAAGCTCATCTATGTCTATCCCAGCTAGCAGTTGGTCCAATAAAAATATATCATCCACATAAATCATCCTTGCCTTTTGCATGTTCACTGGACCCTCATAGCTACATCACTCCAACATTATCAAAGACAATGAGATAGAGTTCACATAGAACAATAGGGCTTGGTGGTTAAATTGGAGAGAATAAGCATAAATTCAAATGAACAGGACTGATTTTAGCTAGCGTTAAATCCCCAGATGTGAGCAATATACACTAGCTCATATGTGCCAGATCTCACAGCTGGGGATAATCCTCACGCAATATTCCCTGGTAATGTAGTGGCTGAAGGGTAGTCTCACACTGTACCCAACAGGGGTAAGGAGAGAGAGAACTGAAGCACTGTTATGCCTTTTTGGCTTGCTGAATATTACCTTTAGGACTCTTCCATTCAGAATATAAATCAGTATTAAGAAAAGAAATGCCAAATTAAGATTTAGAGCTCAATCTCAATAGTGCTGTCTTGTGTCCAGGCCCAAAAATAAGCCAGGCTCTGGCCATACTATTCTAAACTGTTGTGCGAATGAGCTTTCTTCTGTGAGCTCTTAAACAGGAGAGGACCCTTAAATGTTGTATGTGCATTCATCATCAAATATATGCACTAGGTCCAAAAGGACTTGATAAATTTAGTGGGATTAACAGAACCATGGTGGTTAGCTCTCAGTTTAATTCCATTGAGCACAGACTCAAGCTCTAATAAAAGAGCAGCTTTGTAAGTGACTGGCTTTAAAAGAACTCTGAGCTATAAAAAGATTCAAAAGAACAGCTTTTCTCTACTGTTAATGCTATATATTAACACTCATCTTTTTGATGCTGGTTTAGCTACTGATGGGAGATCAAAACATTATTACAGAAGTCCCTGCAGCTTTAAAACGCCTGGCCAAATACATGGTGCGTGGCTTCTATGGGGTTGAGTACTCGTTGGCCCTTGATGTGTTGATCAGATACCCGTGTGTGAAGGAAGATGCCTTGTTGCAGCTACTCAAGTATGAACGCAAACAGCTGCGCACCATCCTCAACACACTCAAGGCAGATAAGTTCATCAAATTGCGCATGAGAGTTGAAACCGGGCCGAACGGGAAGAGTACAAGGCACAATTACTACTACATCAACTACAAGGTGTTGGTGGATGTAGTGAGGTACAAACTGGATCACATTCGCCGGAAGATAGAAGCAGACGAGCGGGATTCTACCACTAGGTCCTCTTTCAAGTGTCCATCTTGCTTCAACACTTATACAGACCTGGAGGTAAATCAGCTGTTTGACACATTCACAGGTATGCCAGCCACACTGCTTGTCAGCTGCAATCTGCAGGAAATTTTTACTGATATTCATTGTGTACCTATATTTATAGAAACATGGGTGTGGAAAGGCCCTTGGAAGTCATCTAATCCAAATCCCTGCTCAAGATGAGATCATGCCTGTCTAGCCTATATTTACGAACTTTAACAGTCTCTAGGCAGTCTGTCCCAAAGTTTTACTACTTTCACGTTACAAAAATTTAATGTTATGCAAATTTTCTAAGAGTAAGTAAATCTGTTGCCACTTTTTTGAGGTCTGGTGGATGGAAGTGTGAAAGAACAAGTATAAAGGAAATACCAGTGCTTCTAGCACCATGTGTAGTGAAAAGGAAGGATTATTTAGCACTAAAACATAAGACTTAGATGTCTGATTCTAATTGCTGTTTAAGTGACTTTACTAAGCCTAAACCATGTCTTGTGTCTTGGTTTATAGTTCAAAATGGAAATAAATTGTCCATTTTGCATGAGTGTTTTAAGAATAAATTTAATTAATAGTTGGAAATGCATGAAGATTTTCTCTGCGCTATAGAGGTTGCATCCTTGACTTCCTTTCCCCACACTGTTAATTGAGAATCATAAAATGTGTACATGCCTTAAATGTAAATGAACATAATAACTAATTCTCACAATACCAAAAGAGAAGTAGTTCCATATTTGTTATACTAACAGGTAAACCAAGTCAGAAAGCCTAGAATGTCCCAAACGTACATAACAAATTAGTAGCAGAGCTGGCTTTAGAACTCAAGAATTTCTGTCTCCTGTTGAAGTTCGAGGCAGCTGAAATTCAGGATCAGGTTCAGTACCAAAGACATTCAGTGGGTGATACTGTCTGCACACTTACAAATTTAGGTACCTTCAATCTAATGGAGTTTCAGAAATCTGTTACTTTGGTAGATTTTTTAGCAAAGGCCACTGCTCAATATTTCCATCCTATATTAACCTGGGAATTTTGAACTGGGACAATGTTGCAGAGACTTTTCGTTGCACCTACTGCAATGCTGAAGTTGAGGAAGATGGCTCGGCACTTCCCAAACGAGATGCTAGAACCTTGCTAGCAAAATTCAATGAGCAGATTGAGCCTATCTATGTGCTTCTGCAGGAAACTGAAGATGTTGTTCTGCCATACGATTTGCTTGAGCCTCCGCCAACAGAAATCCCAGAACTATCAGAAAGGTATTGTGTATTCAATACAGTTCATAAAAAGAAGACTTCTGGGATTCTTTCTTCCACAGCACAGATTAACCTAAAAGCAGATAGCTTAGCCTGGTTTTCAATAAGTATCTTCAGTTCTTACTGAATTCATATGCTTAACCCAGACACCTTTTCTCAAAACCACTAAGCTACCCACCCTCCTTTCCCCTCTGTTTGCTCAGGATCTTGCCAACTACCTCAAAATACAAAATTCACACCACCTGCCAAGCATTTTCTTTCACATCTGTTCCCTGCCCCAGTCATTTCATTTTTCACATCTATCCTTTCTTTTATCCCACTTATCTATTTGCTTTATCCTGCCTGTTCCTCAGTCCTTAAGGCATCTTTCCCACCTACTTATTTCTGTCCCATCCACATTCCACCATGCTCATTTGCTCTGCTTGTTGTTCCTGCATATTAAATTATTTCTAATATTTTTTTCTCTCTGAAGTGGCTTTCCTCAACTTCCATTCATTGAAATAATTCTCAGGAAAGCCGGCTGCCTCCTGATCAAATTAAGCCTTGTTTGCATGGTGACTATTTCCAGATATTTCTCAGATATGATCTATCCCCTCCCTTCTCCATTTGTTCCTTCCCACTTGCTCTTCTAAATGATGCTACTTGTTTCCCAAGACATTCATCATTTCCTCCTCCCAACCTTTTCTTTCATTTTATCCTTTCCCATTAAGCATGAGAGCTTGAAGTAGTTTGCTCTATCATTTTTCTAAGGGTTTCTATTTCTCTAGGTTCACAGGCTAGATGTTGTCAGTTCCCATCATCCCCTGCACACATACTCAAGTATGCATTGCTACTGCTGTTCCCTCTGTAACTGGTTCAAAATTCATGCTCCCTTGTATCCCCACCCCTGTAATGCATACCACAAGGCCTTGCAAATGCTTCCTTTCCTCAGTACTTTCTATTTATTAAAAAAAACAAACCCTTTATCTCCACTCACTCCTCTGTCTCCTCCCTGGGACCTTTTTTGTCAACTCTGAAAGTTGTTTTCCTAAGCTTTTCTTGGAAGGATGATGATCATTGGTGCTGCCCTGTAAGCCTGGATCAGCCTCCCACTTTATTCCAAAATCTTTTATATTAAAAAAAATAATAAAATAAAAATCTATGAATGCTTGCTTTCTATTCTGCTTTGTGTAGTATGCCTAGTGTCTTAAACTTAAGCTGCCTAACAGAAAGATTAGTATTACGCAAGACTTTCTTAATGTTCAGATTTTGGTGAAATGTTGGTATTTGGTGCTTGAAGGGATGGGCATTATTTAATGTGGTAGTGCTTTTGATGCAGCTGGCCAAGCCGCACTTGACAAAGTTCCTGCGAGTTGGCAGACGGGATTTTTGTTTGTATTTAAAATTCCATGGGGCAAGAGAGTGAAATCAGAAGTGAGAGTAACAAACTTTTTCTTTCAGCTTTGATCAGAAGATCTATTCAAATGTGTTGGACACCAATATCCGTCCCGAAAAATGGGCCAACAAGAACTCGTCTCTCAGTGACATGTATGTCCAGAACTTAGTTATTGATGTCCAGGATTCTGAACCTAAAAAAGAAAAAGAAAAGGTGGCCAAAGAACAACCTATATGGATGTCCCAGAGTACTGTAGAAGAAGCGTCTTCAGCAGTTGATACCAATGCTGGTAAGCCTTAATGCTGAGAGCCTAACATGTGCATCGTAGTGCCTTCCTTTTAAGAATGAGAAAAGTCTAGCTAAGAAAATGGTGTCATTAACTTGCCCCCTCTCAGCACTTTTGAAAATCAAGGACTTATCTAGCCAACTGAATAAGGATTTTAGGCATCTTTAGTCGCCAGGTTCCTTTGTAATCTTTTGTTAGCTAACCTATATTTTGAAAATCTTTTAAATGCATCTCAGTGGTGGTTGAATGGTGTTTGACTCAAGCACTTAAATTTTACAAAGACTCTTAGTTCCCTGAGGTCAACATTTAGGTACCGCTGAGGTCACAGACAGACTTGCTGTTTGAAGCGCTCCAAATGCCTTTGAAGCACCCAAAATGGCAAGGCTGCAGGCATGTATGGCCAAAGAAGTGCCTCAGAAATGATCCTCAAAAAAAGAGGAGCATCTCTGAAGCACTCAATTTCAGGCACTTCCTGAAATATGTGATTCTCCAGTATATACACAGAGGGTCGTGGGGCAGGGTGTGGAGCTGTGAGGAGAGCCAATGAGTGCTCTTCTGTGCACTTCTTTGGCCTCAGGAACCTCTGGAGACCAAGAGGCATGCAAGGATTCCTGCTCTTCAGGTTGTCTGTGCCAGTGCATGCTTTCATGCTTTTTGAAGCTCTTTTGGCTGGGGTGAGGGTATATATCTGAACAGCACGAAAGAAATCTGGATTTGAAGCAATCTAGGATCCAGAGCACTTCAAATGTACCTCTGTCCATGGCCTGATATCAAGAACGAACACTTAGTTACAACCGGAGGGTAGGGCTAGCATTCTGAATGACCTGGGTAGAGCAGAGAAATGGTCCACAGAGATTCAACAAGGACAAGTGCCAAGTTCTGCACTTGAGACAGAATAAACCATGTGCTCAAATGCAGACTGGGGAATGACAGGCTAGGCTGTGGTATTGCAGAGAGAGACTTGGGAGTTACGGTGGACCACAAGTTGAATATGAACCAACAGTATGCTCTTGTTGCAAATAAATAAATAAAAAGTCAACAGCATACTGGGTTGTATTAACAGGAGTGTCCCTTGCAAATCAAGGGAAGTGACTCTTCCACTGTATGTGGCACTAGTGAAGCCTCACCTGGAGTACTGTCTAGTTTTGGGTCCCATACTTCAAGATGTGGACGTTATGTAAAGAGTCCAGTGCAGAACAACAAAAAGGATCAGGGGCCTGGAAAGCAACACTTACGAAAGGCTGAAAGAGCTAGGGTTATTTAGTCTGGAGAAGAGAAGACAGGGAAGGATTTGATAAATCTTCAGCTACTTGAAGGGCACTTACACAGAAGATGGAGATGGGCTTTTCTTTGTGGCCATAGGGGTCAGAACTAGGTGCACCAACCTCAAGCTGTAGCAGGGGAAACTTAAGTTGGAGGTTAGGAGGAACTTTCTGACTGAAAATTGTCAAGCATTGAAACAGGCTACCTAGAGAAGTTGTGGAAGCTCCATTCTTCCTTAATTTAAGCATTCAAGAGCAGGTTAGACAAACACCTGGCTTCTGGGATGGTTTAGTCAGGTATGATTCTGCCTTGAGCAGGGGACTGGATTAGTAACTTCTGTGAGGTCCCTTCCAGCACTACTTTCCTCTGATTCCTATGCATGTTCCTTAAGCTGATTCTGTACATAACCACTGGTGGAAACTTGGGAACAGATTTTTGATGCCTAACTTGCTCAGAGCCCTGGCTCCTGCTTAAAAACCCTAGTAAGATTAACAGACCAGATGTCGACCTCCATATCTTCCCGGGGGTTCAATCTAGTAAGCACTCTCAGGGCATGTCTAGCAGATCAGGCTTCTCACATGACCATTAAAATAAAACTTTAGCTGGTTGTATAATCATGATTGATGGTTACTCCCATTTAATCCCATTACATGCAGACTCAAACTCATATAAGAGAGCAGGATTATTCCTGTGGTTTTGACAGGCACATTAAGAAGAGATCCATCTTCAAATCCTACCCTTTCTACAGGATTTGGAAAAGACAATTGTATCCACAGGCTGGCATATAGGGCACTTAACTAGGATAAGGAAGAGCTGTGATCAATAAATAGCTCATTCCTGTTTATAAGCAATATTTATAAAACTTCATCGGAACTGGAGAATTCCACTTCAGAACAGCTAGCAGCCAAACAGCTACGGTAGTTTCCTGGGATATGGGAGGCCTTAGTTCCACTCCCTGCTCCAAGTCAAGCAAAATGGGAATTTGAAAACGGGTCTCCAGTCTCCCCAGTGGGTGTATGGTTTGCATCACTCTTCTGACCCTCCAGGCAAGAGTTCATGACAGAATTCAGATCTAGATACCTCCCTTTTGCATGAAATAAGACAATTTAATCGCCTATATTGAAGGGTGAGGTCCAATTTCCTCCCCCTCCTTTTGACGTTGTTAGGATGAGCAAAACTAGCTTTTGAGACGCCTGTTCTGAGGTGTCAAATTTCCTGTGTGTATTATTTAGGAAGCCTTGATGGCTAACTCAGGGTTAAGGATTCTAACAGGCACAGTGCTTAGAAGCTAAGTACAACTGCTGAAGTCCCTTTTGTAGATTTAGTAATAGAAACCAACAGTGGAAAAGAATACATTCGGTGCATCCTATTTGTGAATGAGCAGAGAAGGAAAACTCTCGTTTGCTTCACTTGCACAATATGTACAAGCGGAGGAGTACTGGTCTTTTGCCATGTCATCATGTCATAACTTGTTTCTTTCCCCCTCTCCCTCTGTTAACAGAAATACCTAAAACTGATGAGAACGTTAAGGAAAGCGTCGCTAATAATGAAGTAATAAAGACTCTTCTCATCCATGAATCAAAGTCATCTTCTGGAACAAGGCATGTGCCACCTCTTGCCCAAAGCAAATGCCACGAGTCAGAAAGTGATACCAGTGAATCTGAGGAGGATATTAAGCATGTCAAACCAGGAAAAGTGGTAGGCAGTGACTTAGAACAAGAGGAGCAGGAAACTGTGGATCCTACTGTAATGGTAGCTGGACAGCCCCACTTATATAGCGAAGTCAGTGAAAATCCAGTGCTAGTGTCATTTATGACAGGGGAAGAGAGAGAAGCTTATATCAAAGTGGGACAGGAAATGTTCCAGTCTGTCTTTGAATAGTTGTTTTAATACTTTACATGCACAGCATATCTGTGTAACATACAATCTGTGCATGGAAAGAATTTGGGTTTGTTTGTTTGGGGATTTTTTTTTTTTTGGTGAATGTAGTGGAATCTACATCTATTATAAATATATTTATTTCTACATAGCAATGGAGAAATGCTGCTGTTGATTATTGCTATCTAGCAGATGGTTTTGAGTGGCTCGTTTTCAAATTTGACTATGAAACCTATCCAGAAACTTGTTTAATTCAAGATGCTGTGAATCTACTTAATTTACTTTGGAACTTTGAATCATTCTGTCTCAGCAACTAGTGTTGTTTCACTTATTGGTAACATGCAAAATAACTGAAGGTCAGCAGTACTCGGGTAAGAGAGCCTAGCACATCCAGGTGCAAGGGGTTAACCTGCAGTCTCCCAGCTCCTGATCTGGATGTTGCTTCCTTCACTGCTTCTGCTGCTTAGAAGCCTCAGGCTGTCCCTTCTCCAGCTTCCTACAGGGGGACTGCATGAACCTGTGCAGCATGGGGGTGGCTTGGATGGCATGCACGGTCCACTAGCTCAGTGCAGAGGGTATACCTGCTGTACAGTGTTGCACACTGCCTAGGGGGTGTGCAGCCCACACATGACCACACAGATTCTGATCCAATGCTTCCCTTTTGAAAGGTAGGTAGATTAAATTAAACTTTCTTCACCAGAACTGGTGAAGCTTCTCTGTGATGTAGCTGCATTAATATGTTCAATAACCTTCTGGATTGGATTGTGTAATATGGAGGCACGAAGGCTGTCAAATAAGGATGGCCTTAGAACAGATCTGTTCTTGTATTTCTCAGGTGTTTATCTGAACAGGAATCACAACTTTAAGTAAAGTGTGTTCATAATTAACTAAACACTCAAAACTCAAAAGTAAATAAGAGGAACTAGTTGAACTCATGCTTCGTTGCAAATTAATTTGATTTTTTAATAACTTTTTGTCAATCATCATCATCTTTCCTTCATCCATCATTGCCTGTTTCAACTTCAAAAGTTTTCAGACTACCATTTCCATCTGACTTTGGTTGTAGATTGTAATTTAAGTTTTTGACATGGGTGAGTTACCAGCTCTCCACGCTACTCCCAACCTGGAGGACCAGATCAGAGTCCCCTTAGCTGACACTTTCACAGTTCCCTGGTCAACTTCATGGCACTTCAACAATGTAGCAAACATTAATAGATGCACTGTAACTGGAATTGAGGCCATACTGAATCTTGAGTGAAGTGTTTATTAAACAGCCCTTCATCATTATCTCACTATGACTTGTGTGTAGGCCAGGGGCAGGCAAAACATGACCTGCAGGTTGGATCTGGCCTGTGGGTGGGCCCCCCAAAATTGTGCCCTACCCAGTCCTTCCACCTATGAGGGTGGGAGCAAGGCACCCCCATGTACATGCAGCCCCAACCAAACCCTACTGTTGGACTCCCACTAGTGTGGGCAGAAGGACCTGGCCAGCAGCTTCTATGCAGGGCTGCTGCTGCCACAGCCCCCAGGACCTGCTTACTGCCCCAGTCTCCTGCTAGGTCCAGGCAGCAGGCAGGGCTGCAGCTAAGCCCACCCAGAGCATTGGACTGGTGACAGCACAGTGCTTGTGTTCAGGGCATGGCAGCAGTGCAGAGCTAGGGTGGGTGCATGCAGGTGTGAGGGAGACTAGGGACAATGGCTGTGCCCTCTGTAGTGCGCAGCCCCACACGAGGTGGAAGCAGGGTGCAGGTGCTCAGTGGGGCACAGCTCCAGCCAGCATTGCACGTTGCAGCAAGAGGCACAATCTCCACCCAGCTGCCTGCATTGCTGGTGCTCCCTGCCACTTACATGCAGCCCTTGCACTCCCACAGCAGGGAGGGAAGCCCCATGTGCTGGAGCCAGGGCTGCACAGCACCACAGAGAAACTTGAGGAGCTAGCTGCCTTCCCTGCCTGGGGCTTGCCTTCCCTGCAGCATAGTCCCTGTGGGGAAGGCAGCCATCTCCAGCACCTGAGGTGCCTCTCTGGTGCTGCACAGCTCCAGCAAGGAAGGCATCTGGCTCCACCGTGTGCTTGTACAAGGGCTGTGTGTGAATGACAGGGAGTACCAGCAGTACAGGCAGCCATGAGAAGGTTGCACCCCTCACTGTGATGTGCAGCACTGGCTGGAGCCATGTCCTACCAGGTGCCTGTGCCTTGAGCACCCTGCCTGCTACTGCACCATCAGGGGAGTGGGGGGACCCCACATACCCCCAACCTCCCTCACACCCACACCCTGCCCCCATAATTCCACACACATACACAATCCTGCACATGCACCCCACATACCCGCTCCCTCACAATATACAAAACTAAGAATTTTTTTTGAGTTATTATGCAATCACCCCTATATACACTAAGCAAATACAAATCATAACAAGTATTTTTTTGTAATAAAATTAAAATATGTTATAGTAGATGTTTGACTTTTAGTGTATGAATTTATGTTTTTTTCTGGTTCCAAGATGGCAACCTGCACCCCTCCCAAAAGGAATATTTCCAGGGGCAAGGGGAAGGACTTCCAGTGGCAAAGGTCAGGGGTTAGGGGGTGGGACTTCTGGTCCCAAGGGGCAGGGCTACCCATGCAGCCCTCAACAGTTCACCAAGACTTGTTAAGCAACCCTCCACCCAAAATACTTGCCTGCCCCTGACCAATAGGGCTGACAGATTCAGCCTCTGGAATAAGAGATTTAATTTATATAGATTCTTCTGTACCCAGAAAGATTCTTTTTGGGGAAAAGAGACCTTTATGTACATACAAAGTTTTGCACAGAAGCTTTTGTATGTCAGCTCTTTTGTGCCAGTAGAAGATCTGGAGTACCATGTTTCAGATTGTAATTGTACAAAAGTCAGTCAAGCAGTGGCAGTTATGTGTTTTTTGACCTCCAAAAGTTCCAGACATTTCTTTTTCAATGCTGTATCTGAATCCCTGTAACAAAGTGCTTTCTTGCTCTGTTAAGGCAAGTACTCTTTTTCAAAAGGAGCATCAGACTGAACAGGGTTACTGAAGTGTTGAAAGCTAATGTGAACAGACCATGGCTATCACAAAATGTTAGTTTGTGATACAAGCTACACAATTCTAAAAGAATTAGGACTGAAAACTAGAACTATGATTTTACAGAATCCAGGGACTAGACCAGAGATTCTCAGACTGTGGTCCATGGACCAGCACTGGTCTGCGAGCTCCACTCAGATGGTCCACAGGAAGGTTACAGAACAAATCGATAATATGTGTACTTGCAAGGTAAAACTAATTATATTAATATACGAGTTATGTGCTTTGATTTATAGAACAAAAAAAAAAAGTTTCAAGTGGTCTACTGAGACTCAGAAATGTTCAAGTGGTCCGCAAAAAAAGAGTTTGAGAACCACTGGACTAGATCAATGCAAGACATGGAGATTTGTCACGAGAAGTATGGTAAGACATGGAAGAGCTCCCTCTGCAAAAGAAGGGAGTCTGTTTATCATAGCCTATTATATAAGTTGGTAATTTTAAGTCAAGCTCTTTCATTTATCACTTCAACAGTTTGGAAACTAACAGAATTGAAGAGGTATAGAAACAGTAACTAGATCACTCCAGAGACGGTGAATCCTGTAGATGCCTTCTTTCAGTTCTCTTACATTGATCAAATTGCTTAAGGTTGAGACCTAGAACTGCAAGATGTGAGCCCTATAAACTATGTTTTGGTTATGTCCACCTGAAGGAACAAGTACTTAACTGGTGCTAAAAACTATAATTAGTTTGGGGTGTAGCATAAACAGCCAGTTCAAAATAACAAGACTCCAAATGCTTCCTTCAAAGACCAATGAGGTTCAAGTGCTTTATTATGAGCAAATTAAATCAGTCTATACCAGAAGCAATCCTGTTTAAGAGCAAAAGCTTGCTCATAAAATTCCTGACAAATTATTATTTTCCCCTTTCTATGGATATGGATTACTTATTTACTCGCCATAACAAAACTGGCAATACTTGAGTAACGTGGTACGATTACTCTTATATTTAAGAGTCCTGTAGCATAACAACTCCTGACCCAAGCAATAAAAAATTCAGGTCAGAAAGACACCTACTTGCTAACGATCAGCAAGGAAGGAAGAAAGCTCTCCAATTAATACTCAATTGCAGCAGCTCCTAGACCCCAAAATTGAAGATATGCTTATTACAGCCTGTATGGTAATAGGCAACCAGATATTTCATTAGCCTCATTAGAAAATTAAAACCACAGTAAGGTGTCCTTTATCTAAAGTCAGGACTTTCAGAAGTTAAGGCTTTGACAGCTGGAACTGAAAGCCACTTAAATGAGTGGGTTAGAAGAAGTAACTTTGTATTGCCCTGGATTTTTGCTACCCCCTCAACTGTTCTACATTAACTACTTTTAAATTTTAACCAGTTCAGTTCCCTAAAAAATGAGTATCCACTATATTCATCATTGGTTAATTTAAAATTTATTAGTAAATGTTTCAAGTGGAAGATAGTATTTTTTTTTTCTGTTTGACCAACATTGAAATCTAATAGGGTTTGAAAATTATAATGTAATTTATGTGCTGGCTTCAACCAAATGCAGAACTTTGCTTCTAAATTGTCACTGAGCATTAGATAGAATAATGTATACTTGCCAGGTTGTATTTATACTTAGGTGTACTTGAAAGTATTGCTTTGTATCAGATGTACTGTAGGAGGGGTTTAGGGGTAAAGATAAATTGCAACCCTTAAACATCTTATGGAAGTCCCACTTAAAGCCTTTAAAGCCATTTATTACCAGGTGCTTTAAAGTTCTTCTACTAGTTGGCTGCCACTTTTGACACATTGCTTATACCAGGAAATGAAATCTAATGTTGATCAAATAAAAGATACAACTCTATCTAATCAGCATCCAAAAGTACTAGAAGCAGTTATAATATGGTATCTGCTTTCTGTCTTCCCATTCACTTCCAATTTTACTGTTACACTTAACTTGTTTCTTAAAATCTCTCCCCTGTTGCGGAAGAGCTAAACCAGGGCTATCCAACTGGCAGCCTGAGGGCCACATATGGCCAGTAGGGGGTTAGGTTGTGGCCCCTGAGCTCCTATTAAGCTTTGTGACTTCTTAATCTATTATGCATAGATGAGTAGGATAACTTGATTTTTTTGGCTCAAAAATATTGACAATGTTCTTTTGAACATGAATCTTGAATGGTACCCCTTAAAAAAGCAACACAAAAGCACCTTTTCTTGAATAAAAAGCATTTCTTTGTTCAGGTGACTCGAATGTCAAACAGCAGGGTCAGGGTTGCTTCAAGCTGCAACATTTTGGTTCAAACAACAGGGTTTACAGACAAGTCCAAAAACTTTATTTAAAACTACAGTTTTAAACAATTCCAAAATTACTAAACAAATCACAATGAAAAAATAAAAAAGATTAAGACAGAAAAAGGAACAGTGCAGCAAGACTGAATAAAGAAGGATTCAGTTTCAGCTGGTTAACCTGCCATGGGCAGAAGTTAGCACACCTAGTCTAAAAAGCTGTGCATCAAAAACTAATTTACATTTTATACACATTCAGTGAGTTTAATGCCAATATTCTATATGGATCTGTGTATGTGGAGGGGAATCTTGAGCTTATTTTTTCATGCATTTGGAGCTCCAACAGTTTCTGCAAAATAAAGTTGTACTGGTTAATGTCTAGCAACCATTAAAGATCAAATATAGCTCTTTACATGCATATCTCTTACCTGTTTAGGAATATTTCAGAGAACATTTGTCCAAATAAATTCCTCCCCAAAATGGTTACGCATGTTTTGAGCTTGGATTTAATTATCTAAATAAATGCAGCCACATGGAAGAAATATGGGTGCTATAGTTCCATTACCAACTTACGCAAAATCAAAATAGGGCACTCTTAACGCAAGTATTGTGTTGAACAGCTTATGTAACCAAAAAGGGGAAGTGATCATACACAAAGTGCTATCAAAGTCGTAGTTGTGGGTGGGTAATATATATCAGTACAAAACATCTGCCCTTTCACTAAGCTGACTGTGCTGTAAACCCGCTCTGAATTTTGTTGCCAAAGTTCTGCTGGTTGTAATGGGAATCACAGCAAGATCCCTGCTGTAGCTCTAGCTGTCTACAGAGAAGCACGTGTTAGTTTCAGGAAGCTATTACAGCTATAGTATCAGATGAAACACTACTTTTTGCCATATACTGCATCTCTACCAACTGAATCTAAAAGCAACTATAATGGCAGGCACATTATTGCATCAGTTTTAACTTTTGAGTAGATTATTAATAGTACCACTACTTATTAAGATCTGTGTTTTAAAGGAAAATTTAAGTGACCTGGCATTTACTCATCTGATACATGTGTTTCTATAATTGCTGAAATGCTAATTTTTCATGCAGTGAGTTCTGCCAGCTACCAGGCTACACTTCTCACTCAGAGTTATGCTAAGACTAAAGAAATTAGCTCAGGACTTTAAAGTATGGCTTTAAGCAGAAATATTCAAAGTTAAAATTCATAAGCCAAACATATATTTCAAAATAAATTCTGAGAATCTGAACCTTTTCCGTGAATTTAAACAGTGATATGTAACTGCATGTCATGTTAGAACAGCAGCTTATTAAACTGGAAATTATTTATAAATAACTGTACATTATTACTTTAAACTATTTATTAGTTATATTCCAAGTTGTACCAGAAAAAAATCTGATGTGTAAGTTACACAAATAAAATATATAATCAGCAAGTTGCACCCAAGCATTAAAATATTAATTTAATTTTTGTGATTTTTGCCTTTGAGTTATTTGTTGAATGAAAGTCACAACCTTCATTTCCTATTCATTTAGAAATCAAAACAACATAGCTAAGAATACTGGGAGATTTCTGCTTACATCAGACTTAAAAAGACTGAGAATTTTTCTTTTTTAATCAAAGCTACTACACATGGGCATCTCTTTTCTTTCACCTGTTCTGTACCTCTACCTCTTTTCTCCTATGTAAAGCACTGTGAAACATTAACTACTGCATCTCTAACATCCATGCTGTTGCAGTCCATTCAGATTGAGCCTTACTTCATAGATCTGATTTGGTACCTATGAATTCAGCTTACAGTCACTTAGAAATGTATTTGATATTTTCAAATTACCTACAGATTACAAAAACTCAGACCTTCAGTTTCAACAAGAAAAGGATTATTCCCTTAGTCACATTGAAAATATGGGGTGTTTATACATGTGCTCTGGGAGGTGGGGAGGAGGTACATTAATTAAAGCAGCTCTTGGAACTGCTCTAATTAAAAAGTGCCTGGAGAATCTCATGCATCAGCATCCCTGTGCTGAAAAATGGCAGTGGGGGGGCTTTAACTAAAG